TGTATAACTTTTACATTTTGTATAACTTGTAATAACTTGTATAACTTGAGTAACGTGTATAATGTGTCTGACTTGTATAACTTGTGTAACTCATCTAACTTGTTTAACTAACTTGTATAACTTGTGTAACGTGTATATTTCTTCTAACTTGTCAAAATTGTATGACTTGTAGAACTTGTATAGCTTGTATATCTTGTATAACTTGTAATAATAACATTTATAACTTGTATAACGTGTATAACTTGTATATTTTTGTAATAGCGTGTATAACTTGTATATATAGCTTTTGTATTGTATAACTTTTATATGTATACTGTATACTTTTTAAAAATCCCATCTAGGACGATTGTAGTGATGGCAGTCGACCCAATGCATTGCTCTGTCAAACTGATGGAATTGAATTACTGCATTCGGAAGATATCATTACTGCTCTGACACACTCTACAGTCCAAGGCTTAAGGCCACGGTTTGGCTGACAACCTCAACCAATTGGTTTTCAGATGAACTTCTTCGGCTTTATGTGCATGTCTTTGTTTCCAAGCCCAGTCATTCATGCCTTCAAACTCAGCACCCATTGACAATGTGGTTTCGAAGATTGTGGAAGTATCTGGGGTACAGCTCCTCCACGAAAGATCGCGGAAATGCCACACAACCTGCACCATGATGAGTCGAAAAACTCAATCCAGTAGTGCCTGAGTACCCTTGGCATCTCATCTGAAAAGTTTGTTCCTGTTTGGACAGCAAAAAGCAATGAAGTCAAGCAAGCGATAGCAAAAGGACTAATCTTGGACTGGTGCAAAAAATTGAAAAAATAGCATTGAGGAACATGTCTTTTTGTGGTAGGCTAAGTTCCAGCGCCTGCCGCAAATTCTTTGCAGGTCCCCAATCAGGCTCTTCGGCCAGAAGGTCTTTGCCATCCGACTGACCTTGCTGTATTGGCACACTTACACGACTTACACCATTGCGCAGTTTGAAGATGTTTGCAGTGCGAGCCGAAATGTAATTGAAGATATCGAAGTGCTCAAAATGCAACACTACACCTTCGCTGTTTCCCTGGAGGTAGGACAAATGCATGGCCACATATTAAAAACTATCACTGTTTATGGGAGACGTGGGAGACTTGATAAGTTGATAAGCATCATGCAAGGCTTCAATTCAACAGATCCTTCCAAAGAGTGGTTCCTGGTGCTGTACAAAATTTCACGGATGTCATTATCTACTGTATTGAATGGACTGTCGAACACATAAAAGGTTGCCCTGGGAGTGCCATCAAATTGACCAAACATAGTTCGAAAAAAGGCAGTGTGTCCTGGTTTACACTTTCCACATCCAGTGATAGTGATAGCGGCACCCTAGCGTCCCATTGCAAGCAGAACGGCACCCCAGCACTTTGGTATCAAGTGGAGCGGCATCCAGCCCTTAGGGCCCTTCTATGTCAAAAAAAAACAATAGCTCCACTTACAGCTCCACCGTCCAAACACATGAGGCCATACCAGGCAAACCAAACCTTGGAGTCGAATGACTTCAATACGTTCTTCTTACGTCCAATTTTTTATTTTCAAATCATTTTCTTCATTTGTTTCTTCATTTTTCTTCATTATTTTTCTCTTTCTCCATCTTTCTCCATCTCCCAGTCTACCATCAATTCAGAATTGATACAACATGAAATAGAAACAAATTCTCTTGTGAAGCATGACTTCTGAAAAGAAAAAACATTTGCAAGAGGGCTACACTCTCTGACAAGAACGTGCATTTTTTTCAAGTAGCATTGAACATTTTGTTCTGAAGGGTGCAATTTTTAGGTGCATTTCTCAATGTGTCTCTTGGGAAATGTCCAATGTGCATCTCTCAGAAAACCGATCTGCTCGCAAAAAATGATTCATTACCAATTGCTCATCTTTTCGAATGGAAAGCAGCAAACATTGCATGTGTTTTTTTCCAGAATATATTCTTTACACCAATGTTTGTTATTAAAGAGTACAGTGCATCAATTCGTTTCACACGGTTTCTCCTGCGAACGCAAGAATCATGAGCCGATCGCACTATATTGTTGCAATGACGAGAAAGAAACAAATCCTGCAGAATCCTGCACCATGTCTATTGTTTGGTGATTGGAAATGGATTGTCTTGGTCCTGCATATTTCTGATGATAGGACGTCCTTCCAAGCTATTCCCTGTGCTTAGATTTCGTGTAAATTTGTTTGATTTTTGTACATTTCATGGAAATTTGCCATCTTTCTGGAATAGTTCCTTTCGAAAAGATAATCGAGATGGTATAGTTCCTCTGTCACAAGGTGGCAGCCAGTTTTCAACGCATCAGCTACACTCCGTTTTTTGTAAAGGACTATGTTCACACGCCCAGGAACAATGTACCTCAAAGTGTTTCCTTCGAAACTATTTTGCCTTTTTTCTAACCCGGTACACTCCCCTGTAAGGAATATTGTTTGAAGGAATGCCACATTTTCTTTGCTGAAGAGGTTGGTACAATTTGTAGCGCACCATCTAGTAGGGCTAGTAACGGCTAGTAGAGTTGTTTTTTTGTTCTGTTCCAACCTTGTTGTATTCTCACTATTCTCACTATTCTCACTGTCCGCTAGGAGGCGGACCATACACTGCCATGAAATCTTTCACAGCCTTGGGCAATTGCACCAAGATGCGATCCATCTCAGGGAGGCTGTCAGCGGCCTCCAGGAAACGGGTGGTCACTGCGCACAAACATATGCAAACAATGTTGTTTAAGTGTATATTGAATCAAAAAACTGTCATAAACATACCGCAGTACCACATACACTGATGCCAAACAAGAGTCATTGACGCATCACTGGGGTGTTGAATTGCAACAAAGATTCAAATTTCGACAGACCCAGGGCACAACAAATTCGATATTTTTAAATCTGACAGTGCCTTCTGCAAACTCGACCGGACCATGCGCTCCACATGACTTTCCTTGGCCACTGGCGTGGCGGAATCCACGTTTTCCACGTGTTTTTTCGCGATCCTTGGCACAACACACTGAAACAGTGCAATGACTCAATGCAAACGCAAAAATCAACCTCTGGAAACACACATTTGTTCCAAGTGATAAACAACCGTCATCAAATAAATAAAACATGTTTGAAAACTGAATTACTTTTCAAAATTCACTTCCAAAAATGCGAACCCCATATCATAGTAACAGGAAGTACATGAAACGGTTTGCATGCACAGATGAGGTTCCAGGGGTGCAAAAACAAATGGAAGAAACTCCACCGTTCACATGCCAAGAAACCGCAACTTCGGAGGCATGGTTTCTAAGCCAAATCAACTATCATTGTTTGAAAATAATAAGGAATTTGATCGAAGCAATGTTATTGGTGCAATTTCAGAACATAACAAAAAAAATGTTACTTTTGTCCATTATTGGACCTGAAAGTTTATAGGATGTTAGCAGAACAGGTAGGTGCGGTGTCATGCAAGGGTGAAAATGCAAATTTACATGTCTATACTATACAGTACATCAAATGTCTGAAACGCATTTTCTCTCCAGTTTTGCACCTCATGATGTTTTGTATTGCCTTTATCTTTGGGCATCAAATGGCTACAAACCGATAAAGATAAGGTTGTTCGCACCATTTTTTGATGAAACTGCACATTACAGTTCAACCATGCCAAGGAAATAATTATGATTTGATTTTGCACCAGCATACCAACACGAATTGACAAAAGGTAATTTTGAAGACATGCCAGACAAAACTGCCATGGTAAAAACAAACCCAACGGATGGAAAAACATGACGACGCAGAAAAAATGGATGGAAAATTGGACGCACGCAATTTTGACCAAAAAAAAGTTCTGTGAACATTTGGGTTTGACATTCATTTTATTCGCAACATCTCACACTGGAAACGAAAAATGCCGGCATAACCCGGTAAATTCATTCACGCGGTTGAAAATGGACCAATGTCAACTGATTTGCTTACCCACCAAGATTGACCGATGGCACGTTGTCGCCAAAATATGCCCAAACCAATGTCCAGCTCTTTATTTATTACAGCAGCCAACGACTACAATACCATGTTGCATTTTGTTTGTCACCATTATTGGCCTGTTGTTCTGGCAATTTTGAAGTTCCGACATGATGATTTTTTCCAAGTGCATTAATTGCGATGCGTTCACTGTAGTTTCATCATCCGGAAAAAACAACAGGGACAACAACCGCACGTACACAACCACGTGTCAAACCTGAAATATAAAATTTCGGAATGGGACCTGATTGTAGGACACGGGAAAACATAATAATGTGCGAACTTTTTTGGAACCGAAAGCGCCGCAGATTCCATCCTGATGTACACTACACGATTTGTGCTGTGACATGTGCACAACTACATGACTGACATGCAATGTACACACCAGCAAATGCGGAAATGTGTTTCGCCCCGCCTTAATGTTGGCATTTTGCCAATCATTACTATGGCACAGGTTCCGCAGGCTGTGTGTTCAGCCATCTTGTCTCTCTTCTTGGAACCATTTCAAGGTGAAAATTCCCATTGTGAGAAGTTGGCACTGACACCCCTGCCAAGAATTCCCACCTTGGCCATTGACTTGCTTCATTGGTGCCCTCGCGCCTCTCAGATTTCCATCTCTTCTTGGCACCTCCTTGATGCCCTTCTTCAGCCGGCGAGCCCTCATCTGCTGGCCCATAGTTCACCAAGGCCCAGAAGTCAGGGTCGGACGCTTCTGACTGACCACATCCGGCGTATCGCCGGGTTTGTCTCCTCCTGCATGCTCTCGTCAGGCACCTCCCAGCTGTCCAAGGAGGATGGAGACCTCTTCGTGGCGGTCATACTCCAGCAAGCCCATGATGTTCCCGTAGGCTTTGTAGGCCATAATCACGGCATGCAGCTTCTCATCTTCTCCCCATTGTGACGAGGAGAATCTTCGTCCTCGCTCATGTCGTTTGTCTCACTCTCTGATCCTCAGCTTCTCGGTCGCTGAGCTCTCAGGCACATGAGAGATGCAGC